GTCTTATTCCGCAAGCGCGCCCGAAAACATTCCGGCCTCGGCCTCCACTCGCTTTTCTTATCGGCGAGGGAGTTTTAACGAACTAAGTTCGGGATAAATTTTGAAGGCAGATGGTTTGTAGATAAGACACTACCAGAGATTTCGCCCTCATTTGTGAGGACTTTATGATCTGAGTTCTGGTTTCCTATAGGCGCAAGCCCTATAGTTAAATTACCCTCCGATCACAAGAGAGAACTTTCGATTAGGCTAGTCATCGATCAGATACTTATAGAGATACGTACATCTGGCATATAGTAGCAGCATGGGTTTAGGATATTGGTAGAAATTGGATTTTGGAAATTGAAGAATTTGGTTGAAAGATTTGAAAGGTTTGAAATTCGGAATTGAAGAATTGGATTTTTGGATTTTGGGTTGGAATATTAGATATTAAAATAGAAATTTGCACCATCTTGCACTTAAAGCGATGGTGGGGAATGGATGATGGGCCTGATCAAGATCCATGGTTCATCGTCACTCCGGGCCATCGTGGTCCTGGTCTACAGTCAGAGGAGGTAGTCGACCCAACCTGAAGAAGGATCTTGTCAGCAGCCATGGGTTGCTTCGTCCAAGGGGACTTGTAGACCGGGGTTGAATGTTTGTCTAAGGGGACAAATTTGAATCCACCTTTAGGCTAACAGAGGCTTTTGCCCTATATCAATCATATCCTATTGATTCATATCTCAAGGATTTGATGCCAATAAGGAGCGTATTGGCTCTGCATAACCGATATTTCGTTGTGCCATTTAGCGGCAAAACCACTCGGTTTCAGAGGGCCCCCGGGTCGTCGTAACCGTTTTATCCTGCGGTGCATTTGGCGGCAACCGCCGGTTAGAGGACACGTACCACCGTCCCTTACTGGGCAGGAATATTTGAGAATGGATCCTAGTGGATATTTCGACTAGGCATTTGGCTCTCTTCTTTGTGAGCTGAAGTAAATTTGATTTGTCCACCCAGCAACTGTTGCGGAGGGTGGTAGGAATGAATTTTGCTTTGAGTGATTTGATGGAATTTATTCTCAATTTTAAATATTTGGAATTTTGGGATTGATTTTGGATTTTGGAGTATTTGGATGACATTTGAAATATGTGTGAACCCTCCGGTTGAGATAGCTTCAACTTACGGCATCATCGGAGTTGTAGGGTCATTTGGGTCTTTCCATTTATTGATTGCAAACTTGTCAACTCAGACAAGCTATTGACTGAGGAACGGGTTTCATAAGGCTTTGTGCCTTTTGTTTCATAAATAACTTGATTTTAGGCCTTGAAGGCCGAAAAAGAATGTATTTAAACAATACACCGGTCGCTACAACCGTGTATCTATTTGATAGTTCGAACCCTGTCGACTCTATTGATCGTATAGAAGGATCGGGTTCTTTAGGCTTCATGCCTTGTTCATGAACTTTCTTTGTTGAAGGGCTTAAAGGCCGAATATGAAGTGTCATAGTCGCCTTATTGTCTGGCTTGTATCAGTGTTGCAGATGCGTGGCGTTGTATGTAGGTTGTGAGCCTTCTGTCTTGCTTGTATCAGTTGTTGCAGATCTATTGGCGTTGCAATTGTAGGTCATAGACGCCTTCTGTCTGCTTGTATTAGTGTTGCAGATCCAGTTGCGTGAATTTTGGTGTAGAGGATCTTCTCATCTGATTCTTTCCCACCTTTTCTCTATTTACGCGGGGGTAGGATTTTCTGAATTTAGAGTCAATGACTGTGATTGGGAAAAACTCCTTTAGGATCTTCAGTGTAGCAGACCTGTTTATTTTCGGTAATTTTTGAGATACAGAAGCTGTTTATCTCTAAGAATGGGATAGAAGGAAAACTGTGGAACACCAGGAAGTTTGGTTCTAATTTGTTCAAACATTTTCCTCCCTTCTGCTAGGGGTGTCCTTTTCGACATAGAGCACCCTTGTACTCAACGCACTTGTAGATCTTGGTTACCGTCTTGTAGGTAATATCTGCACTTGTGTCCACAGTGATTCATTGTTACTTACAATACATCCACTGTTGTTATACCACAAGTGTCATTTACAGGGACCGCTGCATCTACTACGCCTCCTGAAGATGTTTGAAAAACACCCATTGTTTCTATGTTATATCCACCCTTTCACCAATCTCGGTGGGATGTGATGTTGCATTCGTTTGTAGGAAGGGTCCTTGGTTGTACGATTTCCAGTATTATCATCTCCATCACAGCTTTATTGTTCAGTTGGAGATTCCAATACTACATGTAGGGATCATTCATGCATTCTGGAATTATTCATTGATCTTACAGGTACGATTCACTGATCGTTATGAACTATTTAGGGGGGTCCAGCATATCTTCATTACATGCATTGAAGTCTTGCATCATACTTGCTTATATCCTGATTTTGATTACGAGGATATTGCTATATCTCTCCTACAAGAGTTCGTGTGTGTTTGTATTTGTTGCATCTTAGTCACATTGTTTATAAGATCAAGGATTTCATTAACATTGAGTCAAATGTCTTGTAGCTTGAGTTTCCTTGTATATGATTTCAGGCTTTGAGTTCTTGTATATGTTTCCAAGTTTAGTTCATTCAGACTTGAAGTTCGAACCCAATATGAGTCTTCCACATAATTCAAGCCTTCTACTGCCATATTGAGTTCATCCGGATTTGAATTTAATGCTTGCAAATTCAAATTTCACTTGGCGCTATATAATTCAAGTTCGAATGCACAGGTTCTCGTTGTCCACATTTTGTTCAAATTTGAGTTCAGAGTACAAGTTCAAGTGATTGTTCAGGGTCCTCTGAAGTCTTTGCAGGTACAATTTCATGTTCAAATGATTTGATTTTGGTTCAAATATTGATTTCATTTGAATTTGTTCAAATTTAGGTCCACGAGTCCACTGTTCACCGTACAGGTCCTCTGCTCATTTTAGTTCAAAGTTCTGTTGTATTTTTGTTCAAGTACAGGTCTTCTATATTGTTGTCCAAGAAAGTCTTCGAATTGTTCAAGTCTTTGTACATTTCAGTGAAATTCGCAGCACCCGCATATCCCCCGTTTGGGGGGAAAATAGGGGAGCTGGGCCTTCCCCACCACGCTACTAAAGCTGTTGGTAGGTGTCTTAAACACCCGCGGCCGTAGTAATTTTCATCCCACCACGCTACAAGAGCGTGTATGGGGCCTTCAGAGTACCCGTACAGTGGAACAGCAGTGAGCGTACCAGAACAGCAGTGACTCCCCACCACGCTAACAAGGAGCGTGTATAGGCTCTCCCACCTCGTCGTATGCTTCGCACCGGCTCCCTCCTACCGTGCTACAAGAGCGAGTATAGGTGGTTCCCCGGTCCGCTGCAAATGTCGAGAATGGGATTTTGGAACATCGTACCTTTCGTAGCAGTTGCGGTGTCGAGGTCGAGGTCGAGGACCGTCCCCACATGCTACAAGAGCGTGATAGGGCTTACCCGCCTCGTCGTATGGCTTCGCACGCGGCTCCCTCCTACCGTGCTACAAGAGCGCGTATAGGGGTTGCGTCCCGTCCGCTGCAATGTCGAGGACGGGATTTAAGTTAGAAATTTTATACCTTGAAGACCGGTGGGGAGGAGTCGTCGGCTCGAGGATCGAGGCAATCAAGGCAAGAGGGGAGTGCAAGCATTTTTTTTTTGAATTAATTATAATTAACATTAATTAATTATAATTAATTAAGAAAATTATTTTTTAATTAATACTTTATAATTAATTATAATATTAACTATATATATATATATATATATATATATATACCTAGTAAATGCTCACGGAAGTGTGGGAGAGCAAAACGAAATAAAAAAGGCTCTGGGAAGCCGCTATGGGAAGTGACAATGCTCAAAATGAGGTTTTTGAAGGGTTTGGGCCAATTCAGCCATTGGAGCCTATCTGAATGGCGTAGGAGTTAATGAGTGTTATGTTCTTTAAAACATAAAATGAATAATTTTAACATTTAAAATATATTCTTTAAATAAATCATAAAACATTAAAACATAAAATCAAATTAAATATCCTTTGACTTATAAAAAATAAAAATAAATTGATGGATAACTTTGGAAAAAAGAAATTTAGGACTTATCTAAACCACATAGCTTTTTACACATACTTTAGATTGTTTAATAGGGGAACTTACTATAATCTAGGTTAAGCCGATGATTTGTTTTCATTTACTTTGGAGTAGTCCACCTGGAAAGTAGTCTCGTTTTGTATGTTTACTTTTTATACTCCTGATGTGTTACTATTTCATGTTGTTATACTTTAGGCTCTGTAGACCACTTTAAGCTCTTAGGCTACCTTATATTATCTAGGTTGCACTTATTTGCATTTCACTCATACATGTTATACATTACTTTATACTGCATTTAAGTTTTTTGCAAAAAGTATAATCTACTTAGGTGAAATTATAAAATGTAA